AGAAATAGTAACAGTACTGTTCAAATACTCAAAATACACCTAGTACAGGAGTACCAGGAGCAGCTTCTCCATCTCAGGGCTGTGGAAATAGAGGCTGACAAGGAGGTGGAGCTGCGGCGGCTAAGCATGGGCGAAGCCCATTAAGATTAAGATTTCCGTAATATAGTTTATGACGTCTCGTTATGGAATTAACGGGTAACCTGTTGTCAAGTGAACTACCCATGTCAATTTAAATACAGCGAATAGACAAACTTTGTCGACAATATCAAAAGAATTTAGGAGTTTTTCTTAACATCCCGACAAAAATATGACTGAAAAGTAATACATTCACATTCGTATGATCTGGATGTGATTTAAGACACTGACTACGTGGCTTGTATTTTAGGCGTAATTTGGAATTTGTTTCATTACGCAGACCATGGTGACGCAAAACGGTTTGATTTTAAACCTTGCAGCGAGGCCGCAGCTGGAATTTAAGGAGATGCTGCAAAGCTGCCGGTGATCGTGTTGTTCTGTCGTAGCCTGTGTCACGATATTTGAAGTCTGGGACGTTAAGTTTCACCGCCGCTATAACAGACAGTCGAGCGCAGCAGCGACTGAAGTAAACAGTCTTAAAGTTGTACCACCGGCTTCAGCATGTCACTCTTAAGATGATTTTCTTCGTTAATTTGGTTACGAGGAATTGTTTTTACGATGAGCAGAGAAAATATTTAAGGATGAGTATCTGTCTTTTACATAATCAAAATATATGAATAAAGTATATAATTCATCGATACCTCGACGTGCTATGAAGCCACAAAACGTGGAATTTATTTAATCATTTATTTAGTGTTATATATAGTATTAGATGTACATAATCGAAAGAAATATACAACCGAAAAACAGCAGCTCTTTTTCTTTAGTACTGTAGTTGTAAATTGCATTATCAATACAAGACCCCCTCACCTTGGCAATGAAGGAAAAGTGAACCGTTTTGAATGATGTTTGATCGAGACAGTGATAAACGCGGCGAGCATTAATACCTTTTCCTGACTTTAATTGCGTTATTATTATGATTGTTATTGGAATCGTGGGATTACAAAAATAAGTGAAATATTGTAAGCCTATTACGCGGTAGAATAGATCAAGCGATTTAGGCTAATTAATAGTGATAATTTTTTGTTGATAATTTGTAATCAGTTTAAATGTTTTCGCATTTATGACTTGCATTCCAGATTACAGAATAATTAATGTTATATCACCATTTTGGTTACGAAAGGCCTGTATGCCTGTCCGTATTACCGCGATTACGTATGGTGTCGAATACAGGATATTTATTTATTTACTTTCTTATTTACTCAATTTACTGTATTCTGTAAAACACAAAAAACAACAGATGTCACTTGACCTGAACGTATCATGCCGACTGCATGACGTGAATAATTTTTCATTCGAAAAAGTAAGGTTTCATTTTTTTGATCTTTCTGCAGCCACAGCGCTTGAATGCAAGCCTTGTATCCAAATACGTGACGATATTTTCCCTTCAAGCTACTGAATACATTTTCCTACCCCCATATATGGAATTTCATAATCTGCCTCCGGGCTATTATTTTTTACTTGAGCGATGCTTAATCACATTTCTACGTTTAAGGTATGGTCGGCCTCCCAGCCAGGATTTGTGCGCTTCGTTTTGATTCTGAGCTGCTTCCGTCTTTGTCACACACCCCGATTTCTTTTCAATTATGAATGGGAAGTAAACCCGTGACCCGTTAACGGCAATAACGGATCCTGACAAGAGAGATTGTGAAATAAAAAGACTAGCTTAACGGACCTTATTTTCTGGATGGGAGAACATAAACGTCTCTGACACCCAGCTCCCCCCCCCCCGCGCCCCGGCTCTGATGTCGCTGTCGCTCCCTATCTCTCTAACGGTAGGTAATAAAGTAATACGGATGGCCACCGACATCTCCCGTATTCATTCCGTTTGAACGAAATGTTTATCCTAACATAAAATATTGATTAGACGCTTTAAAAGGAGCGCAACCCTTTTATAGTACAGACCCCCCAGATTTGTACATTGGAGAGATGTGTTATATGTACGCGGGGGTAATATAAACGAAGTAAAATAATCAGAAGCAATAAACATCTCCAAATACTGGATTTTAAATTGGTTTCCAAAAAACAATCACCGGTATTCAAGCGAAACTTGATGAGGTAACTCAAAACACGTGTTAACATGAGGGGTTTCGAGCTTAGTACGATGGCGTTTTTTATTGACATCTCCTTGGCATTAAACACAAACCCCTGATTAGCAAATGACTTATATTTGTAATAACTATTCACAGTACTATTGTGCAATGTGAGGAAACGCCGACCGCAAACGCTGACAGGACGCAGCCATAGCGGGCGCTTGCTTTTGCGGCTGAAGTCCGCCGGCTGCGGGCAGCTGGCTCGTGTCACAGGGCACGAGGGCGTCCGCGTGCGTTTCTGTGCTTCAGGGCCAAAGACGGTTGTGGACCCAGGTCTCTCCAGGCAGGTAACAAGCTGGCCTCAGCGAGAGCCAAGGGCAGCAGGTCCTCTGAAGTTTCAAAGACTTTCATGCTACTGGGTCTGATCCTTAATGCCATCTGGCCAAAGTAATTAACATTTTTTGCTGAATAATTAAAAATAAGTTTTTCTAAATGTCTTTAGAGAAATGAATTATTCCGGATATGAGTTTCACTTTTAGTGGTTCGGCTTCTGCAGACATGTAATCCGTTGTCAGGCTGGATTTCTGATGTCACGAGTTCCCAAATCCATGAGCTATATTCAGAACCTCATCTTTTTTGGGGGAAGTTAGTTGTACGTTTAATTATCCCTCACTGCTATTTTGGCCTGGATTTCACCACTTTTCCCCTCTTTCTCAAGATGCTTACCTTTTATTTTAATCGATTAATTGTTTTGAAATCAACTCCTACTATTTTGTTAGTAATTCTGACATCTTTTAGAAGACCATGCAGGGTTCATTTCAGGGGTGGGGCATCAATATTTAAATCATGCTTTTAAAAAAAATCGGTATATCATGCAATCACATGCACACCTGCATATCATGTAGCAGGATATGTAACATGCTGGATCTCTGAGCTTCACTCGTCCATGTAGGATCTGCACCAGCAGCGTTCCACCAGGAATTCTGAGTCCTAATCGCCACCATGGCACTGTAGACAGAAACTCCGCAGTGGCCGTATCCAGCTTGCCCGTGGGTGTGTGCGAGGCATTTCTGGCATTAGGATCTTGTGTCCCAGGTCCGCTCCGGACTTCCTGCACGTGGGAGCCGCCGTAAAGTCGAGTTTTTCTCTGAGCGTGATGGGGCTGTCTGCGTTGTCTGTGGGGGTGCGATGGCTAACATCATTAGGAAATCTTTGCCTGAGGAATGCAGCCCCTCCCTTATTGATCACATCTGCTTGGTTCCAGACCTGGAGCTCGCGAGCGATGTGGTAGCCGGACCGGACCTGGTCTGCTATTCATCTTGTAGGCATAGGCTAGAGGACCTGCTTATTTCTCACTCTGCTTGCTCAGGAAACCTTGCCATGCCAGTGGGCCCAGTGTACCCAGCTTTGAGCTGGGAAACCAGTGCCCACTATCATGCAGCCCCACAAGCCCCCCCAGTCTGAACACTTTTTATCAGTCAAACCATCTTCCCCTGCTGCTTTAATTTCCCAGAAATTTGGCAAAATAGACCCAGCGGCTTTTAATAACATTTTTTTAAACAAAAATAAAAAATAATACATATAAAGACAGATTTTAATTTTAATATTGTCAGCCAGGGGAAACTAAGGGGATTTTTTAAAAATCCCCATTCAGCTTGCCTACGAAACTCATTAAACCTTGGAGCTAAGATTATGTGCCAACGCTCGGTTTTTTTGGCGCAATATTTCCCCGACAGTAGCAATCAGTATGTTAATACAGTAAAGTATCTGGATAAAAGCGCTATCGCCGCGTCTTCGCCATCGCTGTTATTTCTCGTTGTGTTCAGGGCGTTAAGTGTAGGAAATAAACGGAGTTGGTGTCAGATGTTTATTAAAGTATGAAGGGTCGAATATATATGGTTTTACAGGCCACAGGGCAGAGTTTGAAAGGCGCAGTTTTTGTTTGTTGTTGCTGTTTGCTTTTCATCAACGACGGCGGGCAGTGGGATTTCTGTTGGGGGGGTTTTAACTCCCCGAAGCTTTGATATAATCTGGCTCCTCTGTCCCTTTTCGATGCTGCGATCGCCGCCTCGTGTGCGCGGTGCGCTCGCCCGCCGCTGGGGGTGCTAATGCGCGGCCCTGAGTCCCGGGGAACGGGATGAATTACGGAAACTTCCCCTTTTCGCAAGAAATCAGTGACCGAGCTGTGCGTTCACCACCCCAAACTCACCACAAATAATCGATTAATAAGTTGCGCATTTTTGTCTGTATGTGATGAATTTCATACGTTTTTTTGTTTGCGATATGGTTAATGATATTGAAATTCTTTCAGGTGTTTTTGAATCCGTAATGTTTTATTCTGTGAATGGTTAACCTGCAGAACTGGTTGTCTGTGTCTCTTACGGGCTCTTATCGAATCAACAACAACAACAACAACAACAACAACAACAACAACAACAACAATAATAATAATAATAATAATAATAATAATAATAGATTTTACTTGGTGGCACCTTTCATGACACTCAAGGTCACTGATGACGAGTTTTTCCGGTCTGAAACAACATCGTATTAATGGAATGTGGTGTTTGAATCTAATGTGTTTCTCAGTTTTCACAAGATGGGTTAGAGTATGACTTTGTAATGCCGAGGAATTATCTGCGTATTTATTGCTGGCAAGCAGCTGCTTCGTTTATAATCACTGCCGGCGAGATAAGAGACATCGAACGTGACCTTATGTTTGTCGCTGGTGGAGTGAGATTAGTGTCAGAAATTCTGGCATCAAACAATGAGGTGCCTTGCTTTACGTTTATGAGAAATCACTGACTCCCGGATCACTGGGTCCTTCTGTAGGGCACGGCGGGGTCAACCAGCTGGGAGGTGTATTTGTGAATGGGCGCCCCCTGCCAGACGTGGTGAGGCAGCGCATCGTGGAGCTGGCGCATCAGGGTGTCCGGCCCTGTGACATCTCCCGGCAACTGCGGGTCAGCCACGGCTGCGTCAGCAAGATCCTGGGCAGGTGAGCACCCCCGCCCTGTAGCTCCGCCCACTATCCATACTCAGTGGCCTCATCCAGTAGTCCCGCCCAATGACCACGCCCACCAGCCAAGCAGCCGCCCTGTAGCTCCGCCCACTTTCCATACTCAGTGGCCTCATCCAGTAGCCCTGCACAATGACCACGCCCACCAGCCAAGCCCAGCCCCCGCCAGTAGCTCCACCCAGTGTCCCTACCCAGTCGACCCCCCCCTCACCACCTTACATTTTGACCCAAACCTGCTACTTCATGATTCACACCTGCGACTTGCTTGCATGGTTCCTTTCACACCTGCGACTTGCTTGCACGGTTCCTTTCACACCTGCGACTTGCTTGCAAGGTTCCTTTCTCCCTTTGCACCGCAGTGTTTTTTCACACTCAGTCCAAGATTCTTAGGCCTTGAACTTTTTTTGGTGACACTTTGGTGGAGGGTGCGCTATTCCAGTATTCCAAACTTAAAAGGCCCTCTGCGCCCGCAGCTGTGACTCTACACGCTCTGGAATAATGCGAGCGCCGTTGATTACAAGCAATGGAGGATTTGGGATGAATACATTATATTTATCTTCTCTCCCTCGCCTTTTCTTTCATGCCCCCTCTCTCTCTTTCTCACTCTGTCTCTGTTTCTGCTTTTCTCTCTCTCTCTCTCTCTCTCTCTCTCTCTTCGGAGACAAACCCTGCGAACGGCCCAAATCCTGCCCCTCCCGTTCTCACAATGAAAGCTTACAAAAGGAAAAGATTCATCACATTTGGAATTTGCATCAAAATGAAACTGGTACCGTATTTCGTGCAGAAAAGGAGAGAGGGGCGGCCTGAATGGGCGAGGGTGCAGGATTAGCGGGCAGGGCTCTCGGCGCTGTAGAGAAATGTGTTCCTCATTGTTCCCTGATGCGTCCCCTTAATGTCTCTGGGTGTCTCAAAGCAGCACTGGAGTATTTCATTTCCTCACTGCTCCACCATCAGTAAAAAAAAAGTCCCATTCATTTGGATCAGACCAAATAAATAGATGACAGATAAACCCCGGCTTACCCAGGGTGCACTGGGGATCGATTCACCATCATGTGACAGTCCCCCGCCGCCTGGCCCTGCTCCCCGACTTGCTTTAACATTTAGCAGTGTTAAGTGCCCCCCCCCACACCCCCAGAAAAGACTGCTGTGCTGTGCCCCTTTGTAACAGTCCTGTGATCTGACCTTGGCCGAGGGTTCGATTCCCAGCAGGCCATATGGCTGGAAAGCCAGCTTAGCAGGGCCTACCATGCTCTCAGGGCTTAAGTAGCACGGGGGCTGAAATTAGGGGCTGATTAATTAGGAATCACAGTCACACTGGGGGGATCTGAGATACTGCAAGGGTTTGTACCTTAGAGTCACACTTGCATGCTTTTATCTGAAGCAACATGCATTTCTGAGAAATGAGCAACTGGAGTTAAGGGACATGTTCAGTGGTCCAAGGGTGACATCACTCTGCTGATCCTGGGATTTGAACCTACCGATCACACGCACAGTGTATTAATGTGCTGAGTCACCCGATACGTGTTGGAGGAAGGGGGGGGCGGAGGTTGCGAACACTTGCTGTGTAATGGCAGAGACCCGAGCACACTCTGGCTTTGCCGTAAATGCAATGTGTAAATCCGGCCCGACATGGACCAGTAACGTGTGGAAGTCAGTGAGAGTGTAGCCATTCTGGAGACACGCTCCGGTATGCTGGCCCCTGGGGGCCCGAGCAGCCAGAGTGTTTTGAGGGCCGGGGGGCAGGGAAGACCCCACAGCATGCAGCCCCGGGGAGAGATGACACGTGCTGCATAGTAACCCCTCCCTGCCCCGTGTCGCCTGGTGGCCCGTCATGGCACGCCTCCAAACTGTGTGAGGTACCTCTCTCTAACCCTCTCTCTCTCTCTCTCTCTCTCCTGCTTTTCTTCCCTCTACTCCCTCCTTCTCTCTCTCCCATCTTTTATCTCCCTCTCCTTATCACCCTCTCTGTTTCTCTCCTTCCCCTCTTCTCTTTCACTGTTTCTCTCCCTCCAACCCTCTTTCTCCCTTCCTGCCTCACTCTTTCTCTCCATCCCATTCTCTCTCTCTTCCCCCTCTCCATCCCTCTCTCCTCCTCCCTCTTCCCCTTCTTCCCCTGCCGTGTACCGTGCCATGTGCAGGCAGGGTGCCATGTGGCCACATTCTCCGTCCTGAAAGCTGACTCGTGCTAAATGAATAAAGAGCAGCGCCCCCACCGCGAGTAATTTGGCAGATGCTCATTTGCCCCCCCCCCCCTCCCTTGGTACAGACCCCACACGCATGCCGGCACCGCCTGGCCCTGCCAGGCGAATCCTGAGGAAGCTACTCATGGGTGACCATCTGACTTCAGGTCGGACTGGCATAGCGACACAGTGATGGATGGCGCCCAAATTATTAATTCATCTTATTAATCTGTCTTCCAAGCGCCTATGCGGGGGAGGCAGAGCGGGGGGCCTGGAGCCTGTCCCAGGGAGCATGGCGCACGAGGCGGGGGGGACGCCCTGGGTGGAATGTCAGCTTATCACAGGACACCCGCTCTCTCACTTAGTCTATTAGCATACACGCTAATGCTAATGCTAACCCTTAACTGCACGTTTGCTAACCCTTAACTGCAAGCTCCATGCAAACTCCATCGGGGGTCGGGTGGAATTCCAGCCAGGAGCCCCACAGGCAGTGGGATGCAGTGATACCCTCCTGATTTTACTCATGCTTCTGGAAGAACGATCCTTCTAAGTCTCTCTCAATTTTCCCCAAGTCGATATAAAACCCGAGGCCCATTTGCCGGTTCTTCTCCTGACCCCGGACCACCTCCGCCTCGCCTGTCCCTCAGGTACTATGAGACTGGCAGCATCAAGCCCGGCGTCATCGGCGGGTCCAAACCAAAGGTCGCTACGCCCAAAGTCGTCGACAAGATCGCCGAGTACAAGAGGCAGAACCCCACCATGTTTGCCTGGGAGATCCGCGACCGGCTGCTGGCTGAGCGGGTCTGCGACAACGACACCGTGCCCAGCGTCAGCTCCATCAACAGGTACCGGCCCGGCCTCCACAGGGCCCGCTAAGCGCTCGTGCCTGGGAGGACACTTACGTGTTTTCATTTAGTGGATGGTTTTATCCAAAACAAAGAGTGACAGTCATCTGCGGTGTAGGGCTTTGCTCCGACTCCCAACAGTGACATCACTCTGCCAACCTTGGAATTTGAACCAGTAACCTTTTGATCACTTGTGTAGTTTCAGTACCACACACCTGATGAAATGAGGACACTGTCTTTTAAAAAAGCGATTTCTGATGCAGATTTTTGTGTTTATTTTCACCCAGTAGAGGCACAATCGAACGCAGTGAAACTGTTTTTCATATCACTGGCCCTTGACAGAGCTATTAGCTGTTAGCTATTAGCTGTTAGCTATTAGCTGACCTAGTGTAGCTACTATAAACCAAGTAACTAACTAGCAGAGAAAAGATTCTGGGTCGTCATTCTATGTTTTTTTCCTGTATTCTTTTAGCTAGACCTAGGACTGGCTAATTAATCATCCTGTTGTCAACTTTAAATAATGAATCGAATTATGAGCCGTAATTAAAACGCAAAGGCACCATAACAATGTCTGGTTAACGGCGGAACATGAGGCGGCTGAGAAATTGGATTGGGACCGGAGACAGGCTGTGGGGGCTGGGATGGCTCGTTTGGGGGGGTTGATTCAGGGTGTGGGTGCCAGGGTGATTCTCGGGGTGAAATCATATCTCTGATTGGCCAGGCGGCTCGAGCACCCAGACTGAGTGAGTGGGCCCACCTTGAACACATGTAAACCCGGCGACCGGCGCTCGGGAAGCGGGATCAGGGGCCTCGGAGGAACTTGCTGGGGCCTCGAACACATGTAAACCCGGCGGCCGGCGCTCGGGAAGCGGGATCAGGGGCCTCGGAGGAACTTGCTGGGGCCTCGAACACATGTAAATCCGGCGGCCGGCGCTCAGGAAGTGGGATCAGGGGCCTCGGAGGAACTTGCTGGGGCCTCGAACACATGTAAACCTGGTGGCCGGCGCTCGGGAAGTAGTTCAGGGGCCCAGGAGGAACCTGCCGGGGCCCCCAGCTCCATATTTATGAACAGAGTGCAGCTCGCTGGTTCGACACAATGTGTACAATGACATCGCCCCCCCCGGGAGAGAGGAGCACGGCTGTGCATGGGCAGTCATGCAGGAAGCGTGTGGCCTGACTGCCATGTCGGCCTGCCTCGGCCCCGTGGCCCCTGTCACAGGCCACGCACGC